TATATATATATATATATATATACAAAATATATATATTTTTGATTATTATTTTGAGAGCGGTTATATACAGTGTCATTTTCTCTATATTATCCACTAAAAAAAAAATAAACTTTTGGAAAATGGGTCAAATATGGATAAGATTCATATTATTATCTATTTAAAAAATAGATACTTAATGGATAATCAATGAGTTTAACTTTTACATTTGCAAGTACTCAAATTAGGGGATTACTCAAATTTGAAAGATTAAAAATACTTCCAAAAGTGATCATACTCAAGAAGTCATGGATAATATGATTATTCACATTATCAACCGGTTAACCCGATAATTAGCCACCCCAGATAGTAGGAAAGTAGATATGGGGTATTACATGCCTGATCTACCTGATTTTGGGTGGCCTTTGCTAGCAGTACAAAAAAGCATTAGTAGTATTTTGGATTCAAATGTTTGTATATGTGTGCACAAAAAACATGTCCTAGGTGTCCTAACCTACTCCTGTTGGAGAAATATTTCTCAATGGTATGGATATTAGATAAGAAAATTACAAAACAGCTGAATTATATATTATGTTGTCTTACGAATTATGCAATGCACATGAATGACTTTGGCAGGGCTATTGTACTATTGTCGTTTTCCCTAAATCTATTACTTTGCCAAATCTGTAACCAATAACCATACACATGCAAGGAAAAAAAAAACCCATAAATCATACATAGGAAAAAAAGAGTGTTTTCAACCGCATACTTCGATTTTAGTACAAAAAAACTAGCACATTCAATTTCCTATAGTGAGAGTAGTTATGTCCTTTAGTAATACGCAGGAATGGGACCGAATATTTATTTCCCCTTACTCTTTTTTACCATTCTCAAAGCAAAAGAGAGAAAGGAGGATGAACATCATTTATGGTATACAGACATATAACATAATTATATATTTGGTCGGAAGGTATACTAGAAGTAGGTCTATACATATATTGATAATACAAAAAATATCTACGACTATCAAGTTACATTAAAGACATAACTACGAGTATAAGATTGTCAAAGTGAAAGCAATGACATAAAAAATAAGACATATTATCTGTTAAGACAATTTAAAATAAATCGAAACATAAATATTATTAAAATATATGTTAACTTCATATAACAAATGTTAGCTAGCAAGGCGGATATAGAGGCTTGATTATCAATTCACGCATCCAGTAACTTTTGTACATACGTTGTGCGTGCGTGTATATATATATATATATATATATATATATATATATATACTAATTATGAAATATCTATAAATATTTGATATATGGGTGACGTGTCTTCTCCTGAATAATAATATAATTATTTCTCAATTTGGTCAGTTGTATCGTGCGTGCCATGATAAACCAACGCTCTAGAAAACGTTATGAAACTAGAGACGTATACCTACTAAGCTAGTAGTACTAATTTTACAAAAAATAACTAGTCACCCACCTTTCAGCTCTCCCCCAACGGCCTTCTCCTATCTCATTATTCCCAAGAAAAAATATTTATCATTGTATTATAAAATAAAAATTATAAAGTAATTAAACCAAATACAAATAGAGAGAAAGACTGATATATTATTTCAATTTCAAATTGATGTACATAATAAATTGTCTTGGCTCTTTATTTATAAAAGAAATAAAGTTGGTGCGAGGCTTTTCATGAAACTGTTGCAAGGCTTTTCTGGAGCTGCTTTCAAGCTGCATGCATGAATTACTACTAGTATAAAACTTGTCACTTATATAATTAAAATGATGGACGAATTGTACTAACCACTCGGATTATGCTCATTTATTTTTTTCTTTAGTAGAAAAATTAACTTAAATAATTATTCTCTTAATCACTTAAATTAAAAATAATTGACGGATGTATGATAAATATATATATATATATATATATATATATATATATATATATAAAATTTATGTATAACCATATATAATTAATATATAATTTACAAATATCAACTAAGAAAATTAAACAATAAATCTGGGAAGTTCTTTCTGTAAAGATCAGATTATTATGGCAAATATAACAGTCATTGATATGAAGAATATTAGTCAACTTGACACTTGGTTTTTGCATAATATTTTTGGAAAGATATCCAATTACCAAACAAGGTCATTTGTAATCAGATTTCAGTTTGTTGCATTGGGCGTGACCAAAGTCTATCGATTTAATAATGAAGCAAAAAAATTATTTTGGAAACAGTAAGGGAGTTATAAAGTTCATCGCACTTAATGGTATTTATTTTAGTTTCACTTTTCATATACTCTCGTCCTTTAAAAAAAGGAAGGAATTTGGAGTTGTTGAAAATATAATGAATTAAATAAAAGTATGATACTCTCTAATAATTTAAAATTTGAGATAAGATGATCACACTCTAATATTTGTCGGTCTCAGTATCAATTTCTTATTAATATATTTTTTACGTAAAATTTAAATAATTAGAAACTACATTAAAAAGTATTATGGCAAATATTAAAAGTAATAAGGAATATAAAAATGTCGGGCAGTGGCATAAAGCTTAAGACTAAAATGGATTTAGTCCGATTCAAGAGGTCACTGTTACAATTTGTTCTGGTGTGAAATGAAGCCACTTAAAAATATGTTTCCTTGTCACAATTGAAATGTTCATACGACATGGTCAATATGATCATATTCTAAGTCATAATCACATTGAAGGAAAAATAAGATGAAAAGCTATATAAGAAATTCCTTACCACTTCCAAAATTATAAGAAATTGTTTCATAATTATTTAGAGCGAATGTAGATATGTAATATGTTTTTACTTGTTCAATATTTGTTACATTGTAATATTGGACGTGAATGAATTTGAGTGGAGTTAATCAATATGTTAGCATGCATGAACAAAGATAATTTATGTAGTCAATTTTAACATAACTTGCTTAGGATTAAAACGTATTCGTTATCGTTTTTGTAATACATACAATAACGACACTAATAATACATCTAGTGTAGTCTCACAAGTAAGGTTTGGGGAGGGTAGTGTGTACGCACATGAGCGTATGCATGATTTTTCATAAGCAATGTCGATATTTATAGAAGTTAACAAATCATGAATAAATCACCGTAATGACATCATATATAAAGAAACACAATTCAAGTACACTACTATAACTGCTTCAATTTGTTTCAAATTTAAGGTTTAAAGGTTGTTCGAATAACCCAATTCTAGAATAATTAAATAACATGTTGTCAATAATTATGTGCAAATTTTGCCATTTCGGATAAGGGTTCAAAGGTTCAACCCTTGTTCGCCACAATATTTTTCTAGAAGATTTTATATTTGGATTTTATATTATTCATAAATATATACTTATTTAGTAATTTTTTCCGATGAAGCGATGTCAGGTGACACCGCTTCACACCATATGTCTCCGTCCCTGTGTACACAGACCTGATCCCTACCTTTAAGAAGGTAAAATATATATTTCTGATAGACCCTCTGAGCTCAAGAAAAATAAAGGAAAGGAACAATAACAAGGTCAAAAAATCGAAGCTTGTATTACATACAAACACACTTTTTATTTATATTCTTAACTCGAGCTATATGATAGTTAAAAAGATTTGACACGATACATTGTTGTTGATAGTCTAAAAATCTGTAGTTGATGAAAAAACTGAGTCTAAATCCGTCCTTGTCAAAATTTACCTTACTTAGGGTAAATTTTAGTCAATGTTGAGTATAGTAAAATTTGACTTACCATTGACACTACAAAATTTGAATATTTTTGACGTCATAATAGTCAAAAAGAGACATTGGAATCTACGAAAGCATAGGGTCATCGTATCACTGTCCGAAAATTAGACAGAAACCAAAATAAAAATAAAGAAAATAAAATTAAAACAAAAATTAATTGTGGGTTAAAAAGTATGAAAAAGAAAAATTTATGTAAGTAGTAGACAACAGACGACCTTGCGGTGTCTTCAAGTGTCGTGCATGCATTTTGTTGCATCCATTTTTGCTCCTTTCTCCACTGCATGCAACTTTCTCTCTCTAAAAATCTCTACAATACTTCCTTTCTCTCTCTCTATATATATGTAAATCTGCACCTGTATATTTGTATCTATAAATCTCTGTTCTATTTATCTTCATCGAAACTATAACCCGCCACCGACCACCGCCACCGACCACCGCCGTTATTTTTTTTCACAGTGTTACTTTGACCCACTTTTTTTTTGCTTAAGATTCAGTTCAAGATTCTATAATTATATGCTCATTTGCATGTTTAGTGGTGGAGTTATTTTTTTTATTTTATAGTTTTTTGGGGTTTATTTGATCTGGGTCAGTGATTTGTTAACGGTTTTTATTTAGGGTTTTGGTTGATTTAAGAGTTGATTAATAAGATTTGTTGTTAAAGTTTTGATTTTTTGGGTGGAATTANTGTTTAGTGCTGGAGTTATTTTTTTTTTTTTGAGTTTCTTGGGGTTTATTTGATCTGGGTCAATGATTTGTTAACGATTTTTTTAGGGTTTTGGTTAATTTAAGAGTTGATTAATAAGATTTGTTGTTAAAGTTTTGATTTTTGGGTGGAATTAAAAATGGGGTCAATGATTTGCATGAATGAGCTTTGTCGTGCAACGACGTCGTCTGAATGGAAGAAAGGTTGGAGCTTGAAATCTGGTGGATTTGCAAAGCTTTGCTATAATTGCGGGTAATTTTTCTGTTCTAATTTTAGCTTTGTCGTTGACTAATTTTTCTTCTTCAGTTAAATTTTCTGATGCAAGGGCAGTTTGGGGATGTGGGTATTTTTGGATCCCTATAATAGAGGGGGAGTTTTTGTTTTTCTTCTCTGTTTGTTGCATTTTGGAATTGTTCCTAAAGATAGGATTTTTAGTCAAATGTTACATTTTTGGCATTTTATTTTTTCTGTTATCTGCAATTTCTGTCAAATAGGAGCTGTAATAGTTATGTCTTCAAGTGAAATAATGGAAGTCTTCTTTGGAGGAAGGAGGGGAAGTCATAAGTCGAAGGACTGTATGGTGCCTTTTTGTTCTCATTTTGTTATTTTTAAGCTTTTAAGTAGAGAAAAATGAGTTTTACATGATGGTTTAATGGTCATTGCAAATAAAAATGAGATTTTTCATCTAGTTTTAGGCTGATATATTTCCATGTTATCGCTTAGACACTAAGGTTGTTATAGCTGGATACATCGAGTTCCAAGATATTAACTTGCGCAAATGACTTTGAGTCTGAGGCAATATTACTTTTTTGCTCTGTTGTTCTTCCCATGGCAAATGGTATGCCAGCCTCATTATCAACTGTTTGGTTCTTGGAATCAGAAGTATACATGCTTATAGCCTGGGAATTCAACTTCTATCTTAGAGGCTAGAGCTCCCTAGTATGAAATCGTTGTTGCTTCAGACTCATATTTTTATTGTTAATTTCTTTCATTCACCCTTCTATCATACAAGGGTCCCAAATGAAGAGCCTTTTCGTCAGTCTTGACATATAATTGACTTCTACTTTTGTGGTGTTTTGCCTAGCTATTTATTAATACTAGTTAATTATGAAAGCAGTAAACCAAATTTTTCTGATGCCTCCTCATTTCTGATGCAGATCTGCTTTTGAGAATTTAGTTTTTTGTGAAACGTTCCACTCGGAGGAATCTGGTTGGAGGGAATGTAAAACGTGTAGAAAGGTTGGTCACTGAATCATGTACTAGATTTGCATGGTTAACTAGTGTTTTTGATTCTATCTTCATTTGATCTGGCAGCTTATCCACTGTGGGTGTATTGTCTCAAAATATTTGTATGAGTGCATGGATTATGGAGGTATTGCCTGTATAAACTGTGCAAGCCAATTGGATGGTCATTCGATCAGACCAATACAGGTATCCTTATTTATTAGGAGTAATTTTTTTATTTTTTATATTTGGTGAGACAGAAAGGGACATGCACAGTGGAATCTGATTAAACTAAAAAAAAAATCCGAATATGTACAGTTGAGAAGCGGTGGGTTAGAAGCATTGGCATGCACACGTAGTTGTGATTTGTGAAGTGCACCAGAACCTTACTATCATGTCTTCTGTCTCTCGCCTTCCAATTCTTGACCAATGAGACTAACTCATCATTCGTTATATGTAGCAGCACCAAATTCATTTTCATCATTGTACCTTTGTGAATCTGAATTAGTCATCATATTATGTACTACTTGGATAATTAATGCTTAGCTGTAATTTGGACAATTAGTAACTTCCTTATTCTTCTCTGGTTGTTCATTAGATTTCATGAGTAATTTTACATTACATGTTCTCTGCTAGCGAATTAGGAAGGTGTTGCCTCAGTTTACCCCTATAATGTTGCAATCTCTATATACAGTAAAGATAGTTGTAGGTCGCTGCATTTGTTCACGAACTTTGTTTAGGCCACAAGACTGTGTTACATATACAACTAATTTGGTGCTTCTCTGAGGCATCAGCCACATCACAGGAGTTTCATGCTTTGACGTGTAGATTATATGTTTTAGTAAGTAGAGTTTCATATTTCATCGGATTATTTTAGGTTAACCGTTGATAGGTATATCTCTGCTTCATTTTAGAGAAAAGGAAAAGGGCCAAATATACCCCTCTATTTTCATATATTGTCTACATTTAACCTCCGTTATACTATCGGGCCAAATTTACCCCTACAATTAGCAAATTTTTAAAAATACCCCTTGATTCGTTAAGTATTCCAAAATCTCCCAAATTCTTTTTATTTAAATCACTTGTTGTTCTTTTTGCTCCATTATTTTCAAATATTACTATTGATGTGAATGCTAAAGTTACTAGACTATACAAATTATTCATAATTCTTTTTTAATTACCAATGCACTTATTTCTTTTCTTGTAATAAATAATATTGGTTTAGAATTTTATTTATTTTTCTATCATATACACACAGTAGAATTTAGTCGGTATATTTATTGTGTATTATATGCAGCTGATCATCATGTATTTACATGTATATTCTAATATATTTTGTCATTGCCTGGTTAGTATAGAGTTCGATCGACTAACTTAAGAGTGCACAATGTGTAGGCATTTAATTAAAGGAAAGTTAAATTAGACAATGTAAAGTCTCTGAGGAACTTCAACTTCAATCACTAATACTTGCAAAGTCTCCATACATTTGGTGCAACGAATTCATTAAAATTGGGATGTTGTAAATATTTTTAGAATTTAGAAAAGCTACCTAATTTAGATTTTTCAATTTACTATACTTTGTTTATTCGGTTGTATTATTTAATATTTTTTTCTCTAATTTAGAAAGCAGGTAAATGCCAATTATTTCAAAAATAGTGGACCAAGAAGAACAACAAGTGATTTAAATAAAAGGAATTTGGGAGATTTTGGATTACTTAATAGATCAAGGGGTATTTTTAAAAGTTTGCTGATTGTAGGGGTAAATTTGGCCCGATAGTATAACGGTAGGGGTAAATTTGACCCGATAGTATAACGGAGGTTAAATATAGACAATATATGAAAGTAGAGGGGTATATTTGGCCCTTTTCCCTTAGAGAAATAATGAAAGTCATGTCGCGAAATTTTAGAAGACAATGTAATGACCAGAAGCTTGAGATTGTACATCTGTTAGCAAATCTATATTTGGGAAAACTATCTTCAATGGTAGATGAAGTTTGCCAAAACTCCCACATAAAATTCTCAGTCAAGTCATTTTACGCCTTGCTGGTAAACAGCTGAGGGTAATCAATTTCCCCATATGGACGACAAATGCCCCTGCCAAAGAGGCATTTATTGCACTGTGAAGTGGCACTTGAAATGTGAATGGCTTAGAAGATTTTACAGCTTCTCTGTGCTCTCTAGAAATGTAATATTGTAATCATCTTGGTGCAATTTATTTTCTTAACAAAATAAATGCACTTATTAAAAAAAAAGGAGAAACATTGGAAGTATTGTTCTCCAACATTATTTATTGCAATAACTCGATGTATGAGGATGTGTGAACACAAAATGTACTGGTAACCTCACGTTTAGGGAGAATGAACCTTAAAGAGCTTGAAGTCCTTGAGCTTTCCAGAAGGATTTTCTTTAGAGGAGTTATGATTCATTTGCATGTTTAGTGCTCTATTTGTTTTAATTTATCGCGTTTAACTAGTTTAGGGATTAAGAAAAGAAAAATTGGTCCTAAAAAAAGGAATTAAGAAAAGAAAATTATATTCGAGTTATTAGGGCAACAACAACAACAACAAAAAACCCAGTATAATCCCACAAGTGGGGTCTGAGGAGGGTAGTGTGTACGCAAACCTTACCCCTACCTGGAAGGTAGAGTGGTTGTTTTCGATAGACCGTCGGCTCAAGGCAAGATGAAAAATTCGAGTTATTAGGGCATGTTAAAATAATAACTAAAAAATGAGTAAAATGAAGTAATTCGTCAAAAATACTCCTTCATCCCAATAGAAATACCTACTTTGGCTTGTGTGGATACTGAGATAAGATGTTTAAGATTATTATACCAAGGTTATTAAAGAAGTGTTTATAATAATAATTTGGAACATAAAAAAAAAATATTGAGTAATGGTTACTAAGATGTAAGTTTTTATTCCTTTCGTTCAATTTAGGTGACACCATGTAGCTGAACATGCGGGCCTTCCCCGGACCCCGTGCATAGCGGGAGCTTAGTGCACCGAGTTTCCCTACGTGTAGCTGAACTTGTAGTTTAAGATATCATTCCTTTTATACATATAGAGATGTATATGTAGTAAGAGGTAGAGAACCTCAAGTTATTGAATATTGGAATAGTACTTTCAAATGCATCAAAATAGAGTGAAATAGTTAGTGAGGATCCATAGAGCAACCCCAACTAGTTGGAGATTGAAGCGTAGTAGTAGTAGTAGTCGATGTTGATTTTAAATATTTGTGGAAGTATACAGGGCCAAAATTATCTGTCTCCAATAATGGAAGAAGAGTGAGGTCAAATGCAGTTTGGTTCCATGCTGAAATAGCCGTCAATGGTGAAATTCTGACTAGCACTGTAGTATATTACTTTCAAACCGTCACGTTTAATTCTGCAAATTAACGCTGCTTTTGCACTGAGAGCAAGCATGCAATAATTTGATTTCGAGCATTGTTAGAATTGCCTAATCTTGTGTCTGTGCTGTGTCTATGCAACACAGACCCACCAGAGATTATTTATCCTCCCTCCCCTTTTAGCATTTTTTCGCATGTTTTAAACATTTGATAATCAGATGTTCACTTGTCATATTTGATATATGCTCTTTCATAGCTAGTGTACTTGGTTATTTAAATACATTGTCTTTTCTTTAGTTATCATGTCCTAAGAAAATTATCTAAATAATATTTTAAAGATTTGTGAAAGTATCTAAAATACAGCATCAAAATTAGTTGTCTCCAATAATGGTAGAAGAGTTCGGTCAAACTCAGTTTAGTTCCATGCTGAAATAGCCATTCACAGTGAAAATTCTAAACAACACCAACAACAAACCCAGGGAATTCCCACAAGTAGACAAGTAGGGCCTGGGAAGGGTAGTGTGTACGTAGACCTTATCCCTACCTTGGAAGGGCAGAGAGGCGGTTTCTGATAGACCCTCGGCCGTGAAAACTCTAAACCGCCTCCGTAATTTATTACTTTCTACTCTTCACACAGTAGAGGAACCACCCCCACCAGAAAGCTCCCAGTCCCTGAACTTCAAAATATTGGCAAATGAATAGGTTCTCTTTGTCCTTTTTTGTTTTATTTCACTTATCTAAATGGTGTTCAACATATTGACAAATGAGCAACTTCTCTTTTCTGTTTCCCCCCCCCCCTCGTATCTCACTTATATAATTGGAGTTCTTTTTACATGTTTTCTTGAAGTCCACTTTACATGTTCTTTTACTACTTATTCCACGCCCTGAAAGTATACTCTATAACAAATTTAGATAATGTTCAATAGACGTAATTTGAGTCTTAATAAATTCGAGAAATGCTTTGGCAGATACCTGGTGATGATCTTCCCAATGGAACCTTGGGAACTAAGGCTACGCAGCCACTGGGTGTTGAGAATAAAATGGATGAGAATAGTTTTGACAAAAGAAGGGTTATGCGGTTGAGCAAGCCAGTGGAGACCAGTGAGTCTGGTCAACTCTTTCAAACTCAAAAGAATGACATTAAACAAGAAACAATGGTTCCCATCGGTAATGTCAGTACATGCTTTTCAAATCTGAACCAGCAGCCCGTTGGAACAGCTTCTCTATTTGGCAAGCCTGATAATGACAGACAAAGCCAAGGGGTTAAAGATATGTACGAATTGATCAATCAGCCATCTCTAAATTTCTCATTGAGTACTCTTGTTGGTGCGTCTAGTTCAGCACAGCCTTTTCCTGGTGGAGATGTTGAAGGAAGGGAACAAAGCAAAAGTTCTCCCTTTCAACTGGGCCAAAGGACACGCCATATATTGCCCAAGCCCCCCAAACCTAGCCCCAATTCAGGTTCTGAATCAAACAAAGCAATGGCTTCACAGACACGGGTTGCAAGGCCGCCCGCTGAAGGCCGAGGTGGCCGCAACCAATTACTGCCTCGATACTGGCCTAGGATTACAGACCAGGAGTTGCAACAAATATCTGGAGAGTATCCTTGTCAAAAGGTTACTATTAGTNGTTAGTTATCTTTGAGTTGTGTATCGCCCCTATTTATCAAATTGGGATTCTTTAACTATTATGTATATATGCGACTAATTTTTGTAATTTCAATTTCCTCAAATAAGCCCTACTAAAAATGAAATGAAGGTAAAAATGGCAATATTAGACCTAAAAGAAAAATTTAAACGCTAAAATGGTGAAAACTCAAGGAGGCTAAAAAATTCATTCTCTACAGGGATCAGAGGCTCTACTTATGGCTCTTTTTTTACTTTCCCTCCCCCAGTTTTGATATCATTTATGTTTACTTAACTGCAATTTCAGTTTAAAATCTACTATTGTACCACTGTTTGAGAAGGTCCTAAGTGCCAGTGATGCTGGTCGAATAGGCCGTCTGGTTCTGCCCAAAGCATGTGCTGAGGTAAGAGCTTACTTCTTCAGATGTTTTGTAATTTGTGAAGTTTGGACAATATGATATCTTGCCTGTTATCTTTATGGTCTCAAATGGTTAGCTTGTGATGCACCTTTTTTGCGTCATCAATGCCAATTCCTATGCAGGCGTACTTTCCTCCAATTAACCAATCTGAGGGTCTACCTATAAGGATTCAGGATATAAAGGGTAAAGAGTGGACATTTCAATTCAGATTTTGGCCCAATAACAACAGCCGGATGTATGTTTTGGAGGGTGTTACCCCTTGTATACAGAATATGCAATTGCAAGCTGGTGATACTGGTAACTCTTCATTCTTTCTTCTTATGAAAAAAAAACAAAAAGAAATCTCTTCATATGACCAACCCTGTTTGTATTAATTATAAAACATTTTCTTGCATGCTTACATCTGTTATTTCTTTTAAACTCAATGGAAATGCCCACCCC